TGTCAAATAGACTGTTTAAAAATGCAAAAGTAAATACTTTTGTCTAAAAATGTACCCAAGTTATCTTTGTTCAGTACTTCCAAAAATATATTGAAACTTAAATCTTGATGACTGGGTAATGGAACAATTGAATAACTAGAACAGTTTCTACTTTTTAGTGGAATTTTTTTGTCATAGTAACAGATTTTATTATGAGAAATGGAGAGAGTATGGAGACTGTAAAACAGTTAGAGATTCCAGTAAAGGGAAAAAGCTGGAAAGAGACACCAGGTTAAGACACTTTTCTGCTTGTTACCAGAAACCAGCAAAAAAAATACGCCCCTTTTATATGCCTCTTTTACTGTCTTCTAATTAATTTTATAAATTCTTCCAAGAAGACTGATGGGATTTCATTAAACATAATTGCTGTATAAAGATCAGTTAGGGGCAGACAATCTAGTGAGCCACTTACTAAGACTAAATCAGCATTTATTTAAAAGATACTGAAATACATTGCAAAACCGTCGGGCTGTATTTTCAGCAAGGAAGGGCGAGAGCTTTTCAACATATTTTAACAAATCGGGAAAATACTCTGTCCAGTATTTTATGTGAGGAAACGGGGGAGGGAGGGGAAGGATGCAGCAGGGGTGGTGGGCGCTGCTGGGCTCTTCCTTTTCCCTCCTTTCCTCAAGGCTGTTCCTGTCCGTGCCTGGCTCCTGGCAGATGCTGCTGCACCGGCTGCTTTCATCCCAAAGCCCACACAGGAAAGGCAATTAGCTGGAGCGCGGAGCTGAGATCAACAGAGCTTTGTGTTTTGTAAGGCCAGCTACAGCTGGCTTCCCCCGGCCCCGAAAAGCTTGTTTGATGTGGAGTTACTGGGCCAGGACCGGGGCAAGGCCAGAGCCCCGCGCGAATGGGCGGCAGAAGGGGCTTAGCCAGCCTTCCTGCCCTCCTGGGCAGCACCAGCAGCAGAAAACACCTCCATGAATACTTCCTCCTCCAGACAGGCACAGCACTGGTACCGGGTGTCAGAAAAAGTGCTGAAAGACAACCGCATAGCGGTTGGTTTGGGTTTTTGGTTTTTTTTTTTTTTTTTTTTACAGCTTTGGGGGCCAGGACAGGAGGGAAAGAATATCCCTTCTGGAGTCTTCAGGCTTTTAGCACAAGGCCACACTTGTTGTGAGGGACCAGACATCTGTGAGCAGTTCTGCAAGAGCCATTTATTGTAATAAATAACCACAGAATAATCTGAGATCTCTAGAATCCAGAATAAACTGTGCTGCTAATTGAAATCACTGTTTTTTTTTTTTTTTTTCCTGCACACATTGTGCTCAGCTTTTTCAATACCTCAACAAAACTGCAATCATGCTTTAGAGAAGCATCTTGGGATACTTATGTCTTATGAGGATGACATACAGTGCGACAGAAGTCAGCAGATATTAATGGGGATAGAATAGAATAATATATGGTTAGAATAGGGTATTTGTCTTGGGTTCACCACGCTTTGTAAAACTGCTAGACATGAACAATTGTAACGCAGTCTAACCGTGCTAGCTGATTGGGAATCAGCCTTAAAATTAATATGGGGGGAGAAATACTACCATCTGGCAAACTTTTTTTTTTTTTTCTTGAGTATTTAAGCCCAGGGAGGTTCACCTGATTCTGTATATTGTCAGGCATCGCTGGTTACAAAAGATGAACTTCAGTGTCTCTGAAGGACGATGTAGTGGGGCCTCTATTTGCCCTTATTTCAAAATCAGTGTGTTGTTCTAGATGTTGGACTACTGATATGTGCAAACAAGTATCTCTAGAGAATTGGCTTTATGGAGCACCACGGTGCCTTGCCAAATGACATTGTGTTTGGCTGAACAGTTTGAACAAATGGTTTCTTTTGGGATTATGACCAAAATAAATGGAATATTTAACAAAGGAGTTAAAGCTCACAACTTGTGCAGGACAAAGCATACCACCAATTTCTGTGCTTTGTTTTAAACAAAAAAAGTCTGAATCATGTTGCTAAGAGACAAATTGAAATTTGATCGTCAAAGGCAAAATATTATGTTGTAGCCACATGATATGTTTTAGTAGGTATCTAACAGTTCATTTTATTCAACACGTATGTGCTCCATGAATGGTAAATTCTATGATTTTTTTTTTCTGAAAAGCTCTATTTAGGATAGTTATGATCTTAGTAAGTCCAATTATCAATAGTTAATCAGCACAAATGTATGCTGTAAAAAGCAATAAGATTTAAGTTTCTAGCGGTTCAGAAATATTTATTATCTAAATTTGTTTGATAATATGTCTAGTGTCACAATATTTTCCCTTTTCTCCCATTTTTTTAAAGTTCATCTGGGTTACAAAAACATAAGCATTGCTTTGAAGCCCAGTCCTGGTTCATTAATGTTAACATGAAGTTCTAACTGTGGAAAACTGGCACACTTACAGCTTGTGAAGGACGTTACAGTTTTTTTGGCACTCATGATAGTGGTGAACAAGATCTCTATAGTTTTTGACATAAAGACATATTTAGATATTTCATTTTAGCTTGTGATACAGTGGAGATATTCTAACCATAACCAGTTTCTGAAGGCATTACAGTTACCTGCTATACATGGGAAAGTAGTGTTATTGGTATTAATAGACCTCACCATTAATATACAGGCAGGAGAACCTACCTCCCCCCTGTGCCTTGCACTCACAAAACACACTTCCACTATGGGGAAAGTGATTCTTTAAAGAATGAGGTTGTGGGAAAAGGTGCTCAAACTCTGTAGGCTATGATCTCTGCAACACAGAAAGGGATCATTTGCTATTTGTACATTTAAGAAGGTACATTTTCTTCTACTATCTTTAGATTGCATCTTTATTCAGCAATTGAAACATGTATGTTAATTAAAAGGTTAAAAGGTGTTTCTGCATTGTTCATTATGTTTTATTTTAAAAGCTTGGTAAGTTTTGTTAATCATATGAAAGAGAAAATGTCTTTATGATATGTTCATATAAATTTTGAAATTCAAACATTTACCATTAGATGTTTCTGTTCCAGAGCTTTATCTGCTCCTCTCTTTTTTTTTGCAATATTCAACATCCTTACATAGTTTTGTTTAATCTGGTTTTCCTATCTTTGTGAATTACAGTTACAGAAAATATAAACCTTTCTGATTAGGACTCTTATCTTTCCCTGAGAAACACAGTATTTCTAATCTGCCATGAAGAAATCCTGGAAAAACTAAAGATTCGGTATCATTCCATTCCTGCATTGGGTGGTGATATGCTTACAGGGTAATTATTACAGTAGAATTGGTTTACAGCAGGTATTATTTATTTTGGCAGGTAATCGATATTCAGACCTGAAAACACATATTTAAAGGATGGAAGTAGTAGATGTTTGGGCTTTGCAACAATCTAGGTTAATAAAGACCTAAATAGATCTTGGATATCTTAGAAAGCCAAATCCAGCGAAGACCTTCCTGTCAGCACAGGCCTCCTGAAACAGTTTTCTTGAACATCCTACATCACCGTTCTGAATGCAAACACTTAAGAAATGGTCAGGAAGGGGTGTACTGCATGCCTACCAGGGTTTCAGTTAGAAAGAGATGACAGAGAAGCAGTGAAGTTGCAGACACCATAATGAGTGCAAATTTCCTCAGCCTGGATGTTAGCTTAAGTGTTCACTCAAAGTCGGAAAAAACCTAAGACCTTATTGAGTGCCTTGGCTTTGAAAGAAGTCACACACAGCGGTGTACGTACTGTCAAGCAGGTAATGGAATATATTCCCATTATTTTATGCTACTCAGAAAACTCACCCCTACTACTAGACTTCGGTGGAGGGAAGAGTCAAGATGGTACTTTGCACAAATGAACTTTGTTTTGCATACACTAGATCTTTACACAGTATTCTAGAACTTGAGGATAGGACAAAACAAAAGTATCATTCCCGGAGAACAAATGGAGAATGGTGAAATCTGGTCAAAGAGAAGAAAAACAAAGATCATCTTATGTGGTATGTACAGTAGTAATTTGTGGTGTAAGAAGCTTTACATTTTTCTTCTAGTTTGTCAGATCTTTCCTGGTCTCTGCAAAACGGTGAAATTCTCCTCCAGAGTTTGATCAAAATTGTAATTTTTTTTAAAGTAAACTGTAGGGTTTCTTTAATATGAAGAGTAAAGGTCTCTCTGACATGTAAGGTTCATCTTTGACTATGCAGATGTGATTTTGTTTTTCCATTGAATAAAGGAATTTATATAAATATATATTTGTATTTTCCTAGTTTAAAAGCATGACCTGTAATTCTTAGTTATTCTATCCGTGATTTCAACTCAAGGCTAATATTCTTACAGTTAAGTAATTCCACACTTTTTAATGAAATCTCAGTTGAGTCTGTTGTACTTTTATATAAGAAAATATCACCTTATTTTTCAGCAGCACAAAGACATATGCAGTGCTAAATGTTATAGAAGAAAAGCCCTTCATAGATACAGAATTTTTGTTCACAAGTTCCAGACAGTTTAATGAAAAATAATCTCAATTAAACTGGCCTTTTTTGTTCTGTTTTTGTAGAATTTACTGTAGATCTCTCAGAAAACTGGACATAACCCAACTGACGTGAGTATATCCTCAGCGTTAATGTAAGCCATCTTTTCAAATATTTCTGGACTGAAAATTGGGCCTTTTTTTGAAAACACCATGGTGAGATTATCAAATGGCAAGTGCAGGATAAATTTCTCTTTCCTGACTTTGGTCCAGACATTTAAACAGAGAGATGGTTACTGATACTGCTCAGAAAATTGTTCCAATGCAAACAGGTCAAGACTGTGTGCTCTGCTTTTGGTGGGACCGGGCCATCAAAAGGCAGAGTTATTAGGGGACAGAAACATTCTTTCAAGACTCAGTGCTGCATTGAGATTTTAGTAAGGACTAACACTACGCACTTTAGCTTTTTATTTTCTTAATAATATTTATTTTAAATTTTCACTAGCCCCTTTATTTCAGTGTGAGTTTTTAGGCCATCTGTTAGATCTAAAAGGGGGAGCTGTTAGAGTTTAAGAAGCACACCCTGCATTGTGCTCTTCTTCCTAGTTTAAAACTCCCAGGACAAGGCAGTCACCCTCCTTTAAGGAGCAACACCCACTGCCATTGTTCATGGGTTGCTGCAGTCTCTCTCCAGTAGCTCTGAATAGGTATCACATCTACATCAACCTTTTACAATTCAGGAGCCATTAGCAACCTAATTTTTTGGGTTTGTAGCTAACTGTTTCTTGAGCTTGTCTTTCTTTTTCAGATTACAAAAGTATCAAGATTATGTAGAAGGTGCCAGTCCTGGCGTGACATCAAAACTTTCAGTATTGAATGACCACAAATGCTGGTTCCAGGTGAAGGGGAAAACTGCTGGTGTTAGCACAGCTAATCCAACTGGGAATACTTTTTTTTGGAGCCAAATACTTCTCTGAGTAACCTCTTTAGTCCTTCAAGGTTGGTTCTGAAGATATTCTCTGAACTAATTGCAGTGTAAATATGATGGCAGATAGCAATTCACCAGGAAAGGTTTACTCACTGCTACCAGATGTGCGTCCCAACTCTTTCATGATGTAAGTATTTACCTTTATGGTTGTTTTCTACGTATGTTACTCCAGTAAATCCTAAAAGTTATTTGGATTCCTGTGTACCAAGGATGTGAAATAAGGCATGTGGGAAAATATCAGGACCTCTTTCTGTGGGTAAGAGACAAAGATCATTCGCTTCCTTTTTTTTGTGGATGGTGATTTGTCTCTCCCTCTTCCTCTCCCTGCACCTCTCCCCTCTCTTCTTTACTCCCTTCTCAACATTTCAACTTAAATAATTTTGCAAGGCTTCCTTTATTGTCAGTGAAGAGAAACAAGTGTTTAAAAAGAAAAGTGGTCTGATCTTAGATGCTTATTTTAGTAGGAAATGAACAACCTTCTGGAAATTCCCATTACTCTCTACTGATTCTAAAAGAATTAGGAGTTGGCTGTCTTTGATTTAGATGTCTAACTTTTAGTTGAGCCCTTCCCTGTGTTTCTTATTAACTACCATGAACAGTTTAAAAAGAACTGCTAAAACTCATTAAATAGTAGCTAAATAATGAGTAATATGACCTGTCCTATACAGGTCATATCAGAGAGAGCTGACAAACTTCACTGAATGCAGAACTTTTTTTGTCCTAACCAAAACTCTCGCAATTTCATCATGAAGGCAGATGAAGAAATAAAAAAGTCTAGAGCCAAGGAAGATAATGAAAGCTCATTCAACTCCAGTGCTCAGGGAAACTTAACACATTGCACACAACCTTCCAAGTACCACAACCTGCAAAGCAAGCAGGAACAAAAATTAACTGTGAACTGTTTCTGAAGATGTAAGCAATTAATTAAATTTTGCTCCCACTTTTTTTTTTTTTTTTTTTTTTTCCCCTGAGAAATACAGCTGTTTGTAGTAAGCCATAATGGCAAATGCCCAGTGTTGCATTTGAAAGTAGGAACACGGTCTGTTCCCAATGACCTTGTAACTGAGGATATGGTCTCTAATGCTTTTTACCCTATTACGCAAACCAAAACGTTAAAAAATTGAGACAAAGACAAAATACCTGCTATGCGATTTTCTCAGCAGTAGTTTCCATATCTCCTTCAGCTTTCTGGGTGATTTGAGACTTGCTGTCTCTGCCTCTGCAGAATGATCTTATTTATTAGGTGCCGCATCGCTCGCGGTACCTGGCAGTACACGCCACGGACCTGGAGATCTCCTGTTTACAGGATGTGCAACTTGCCTGCAGAAACTCCAGGAAACAGTCTGCTTGCTGTGACCTCAGAGCAGCCATTTCAATCAACCACAAACCATCTGACAGTAGAACTATATTTACACGATACACACGCTCACTAGGCTTTTTATTACTGTCTGTTAGTCACAGATCATGAGAATATAATCTCCCACTCACTCAAGATCTGGTCTCTGATTGAGCGATTGCTTGTTCTGCTTTTCAATCAACAGCTGCTAGAACTACCACAACCACACTTGAACTAACAGCTCTAGTCATTTCCTTCTTGCTTCTTCATAAGGTCATATATAGTCTTTGTTCTTATCGCAAATGTTTACTTAAAGGGGCAAATTATTTCCATTATAAATAATTAATCCCACAGCATTTTTTGGGCCATGCTCATTCAGCTCTATACATTATGAGCTAACAAGGCTCTAGCTCCTTATTTAGACAGAGAAAAAATTATTCTGAAAGTTAGTACTTACATTATTTTTAATGTAACAATTACTTTACAGCCACTGAAAAGATTACAACCGATCCGTCAGAGCACCTCTACCAGCCTGAATAGGCAGACTCCAGCCTGATAGTTCCCATTACAAGTGAGTAGGAACTTTTTTCTCTTGGTGAAAACAGACCCAAACATGTCCCAGGAAGCAGTGTTCAATACTTCCTGCAATCACAAGTATGTGCTAAATTACTACGTACAAATGATATATTTTTAAAATTGTGATTTATATTATTTTTTTTTCCACACAGTTGGTCAACATGCTTGTTATAAGATGAAAACTTGTCATGTGCACTAGAGACTCTTATCATCTCCTGATTGTAATTTTTTATCTTGTTTCCTGTCTAGCAAGAAGGGAGGGAATAAGCAGACACAAAGCACTGACTGTCTCTGCTCTAGGTAAGGGTGGATTTAGAGATTTACTGAGGTTCAGAGAAGGTGAAAGAAATACTATATACATACTGGGATTTTGTTTGGTTGGTTGGTTGTTTTTTTTCATCTGGCAATTAAATTATCTGTACTGCCTTTCCTCCGAGATAGCCTTTTTCAGTGAGTCGGCTCTATAGCTATTATTTCTGTTGAAATGGGTTATCACATTGCTTGAAAACTGAAAAAGAAAGATGGCAAGCAAATTATTTTTAGTGTATAGATTGGTTATGTAATATTCATTAAACATAAATGTTCATTAAACATCAAGAATGGTTACACTGATCATTTAAAGACAGTTTGAACTACTGATCATGACTTTACTGGGGATGCAAAACTGACAGAATCAAAGCCATCTTAAAATTTAATAAGATGTCTGGACTTTTACAGTCTGGCAATCAATTTTGGCAAAAAAAAGTTATAGTGAGGTATGATGAGGAGAGGGATTCAGTCACATCACGATCTCCAAAATTGTCCCTTGGCAGTTTTTAACATGCTTCTGATCACCTTAATCTCTAATGTATTAATTTCCACAACTGTTTTGTGTTACTCTCAAACGCCCTTTAGCTGTCAAGATGTATAACAACCTATCACTTTGTTGTAATCTGACTGGTGTGGCAAATAATAATCAATCAGATAGCAAGATTCCTGCTCCTCCATCACCAGTAAGATTGTGTCCTGGCAAGCCGTTTGCCTCCTACTACAGATTCCGGAAATCAAAGTGCTACCTGAAATATTTTATTCACTCATTCTGCCATTGTTTTCCTTCAGATTTGGTATCTCTGGATGTGCCTCCAGATCTTATGTAAACAGATCGAGTCTTTATTTATTTTTGAAATAAACAAAATTCGACCACACTCTGCCTAGCCAACATCTTCTAGATGGAATGGCACCTTTGTTCCCATAAAGAATTCAACAAATTGAAGAAAACATAAGCAGACTTCCATGTGAATAGAAGACTCAACTGCAGTGAACATTTGATGAATATTTTGTATTTTCCAGACTTTTTATTTGCACTTCACTCTTTAAGTGTTATAGAAAAAAAAAAAAATCTTCTGTAATACCAGTGATGATACTGATTGAAAAAAATATATAAAATTAGGAGCTGTAATCAAAAAGTTCTTTGCAGATCTACAGCTCTAGTTTGCAGTTAATGACTGCTCCTTCTCACTGATTGAAAGATATTTTGTCATCTTAGGAGCATTTTGGCCTATTACCAAGCAATTTGCTCATTTGAGAGATACCTAGGCTCTTGGTCATCCATAGGAAGAACATAAGGGCTATTCCTCTCATCAGGTAAGGAAAATGTTTAATTCACTTCCATTTTCTCAGTTCCAATTTCATTATTGGGCTGAGATAACATCTATGACCCATAGTTTCTTAGTCTATTAAGGCTTGGGAACACAGGACCACTTGAAATACTTAGTGTAGTTTCCTCCTAAGCCAAAGACTTTCCTTCATCAAAACATAAAATTCAGTAACTCAGAAATAGCTGAGAAGGGGTTCCTAAACTGATCCTCTCATCCTGGCAAATACAAAGCCAATAAAATTCCACCTCCCCTTAAGATTTTATCAGCACGTGAAACCAGAGAAGTAGAAGATTGCAGTTAGTACATTTTTTTTATCATTTGGATGCAGATATGAGTAATTTCTCTAATCAAGAGAAGACATTTGAATCTTACTCTTAAACCTGTTCAAAATGACTGTTTCTCTTCACAGCATTTGTAGAATCAAATGCTTTTTGGACAATTTACCAATAATCTGGTGGTCATCACTTATTTGAATTTTCATTAATATACTGTCAGTTTGCATTTTTTTTTAATAAATACATCTGATTGTATTAATTTCTGCCTGAACTTCTGCATATTATTTCTAAGTCTTCTTTTCTGTAATGTGACCTCTCAGCTTTTTTCTTCAGCTTGTGCTTTGTTTCTGTTTTGCCCACCAGGTTTCTTTCTTGGTATCATCAGCCTGTTTCTTTACCAGGTTAATAGTTTTCCTCTTGAGTCCTCACATCTACCCAGACCATTCCCAGCTTGTACTTTGGAGAGACTGTAAACAGCATCAAATACCAGTAAAAATACTTATTGTTTCCTTTATTCTACTATTCAAACCTGCTTCCATGGGTTTTTTAGGACCGGCCAAATGTATGTATTGGAAAGAACTGTGGGTATTAAACAACTCCAAGGATTGTTTCCTCTCCCTTTTTCTGTTTGTATAAATTAGTGTGCACAACAAGGCTAGGTGGATGATAAAATTGTTGTCAGAAATGGCAACTCAAAGCAGTAAAATATACAGTATTAAAAAAAAAAAAAAAAAGAGTATTTTTGAAGATCTGTGGAAGGATAGAGGACAGGAGTCAAAAAAGCATCTCAGGCTACCCATACAGCAAAGTACACTCAAAATTTCACCAAGGCTGTAGGAGTCCATTAATACTGATCAGGACTTGTGACTGAAAGTAACGCAAGCGGCTGAACTGTAGGCCTTGAGACCAGCGTGGTCTGGGCAAAAACACAAACATAATGCACTTGCGGGAAATTCTGTTGCAACACTCTCAACACTGCATCACACGCCAGTGCCAGACCTTCCCAAGGGAAGGTGGTTTTATTTAAAACACCTTTAACTGTCTGACACCCTCAGGGTGTGGTCACGCTGGGGTGCATCGGGAGATGTGTCCATGGAGCCTGTGCAGCGGGGAGGGGGAGCACGGAGGCAGGGGTGACCAGTCTGCCCACCCAGCACTGCCATGCACCCAGACGTTAGGCCCAGCATCCTGCAATTACATGGGGCTGAAGTGACACCGGCTGTGAAGTCCTCCTCAGGTCTCCTGGGTTCTTCTTAGACTGGCAACCCTGCACAGGTTTTGAGTGTGCCTCTTCGTAGCCTTGAGCAGCTGACAGTGATCAGTGTCTCCATCCTGTCCTACCTCTGTGAGTCATCAGGGTTTCTCCGTTGCTCTCTCCCCCCTATATCTGGATGTTTTGTGAAACCGCACATAGATGTGCTGGGGTCTTGATGACCTGCTAATTTGGGTGGCATTAGCATAGTCCATGCTGAGAGCCCTTTTGCTCTTGTGTGCTCTACCCAGTGCCCCCAGGCCCAGACATTCACATTCATTCTCCATTCACATCAGTTCCGACCTTTCTGTTACAGCCATCTACAACCAGAGGTAGAGAAAACAATCTAAGTAATTTTAATTACAAGCATACTAACCCTAAGAACCACAGGTTCTGCTGGTGAATGGAGTAGGTGACTTGGTGACACAGGAGGGGGTGGGGGGTAGGGGGTGGGGTGGGGCAGAAAAGGCTGAGATACTCAAAGCTCTCTTTCCCTGGTTCTTTACTAGCAACGTCAGCCCTCAGGCCTCACAGATCTCTATGCCTAGTGGCAAAGTTTGGAGGAGGAGATTACTACCAACTGTAGATTCCTCTCGAATTAGGGCCACTTTAGCAAACTAGATGCTTACAAGTCCTTAGGGCTGGACTGGAGGTGCTTGTAAAGATGCTGAGGAAGCTGGCTAATGTCATTGTGCTGCTTACTATCACCTTTGAAGGGCTGTGGCAATCAGATGGGATTTCCAGTTACTGGAAGAAAGAAGAATGTCACATCTATCATCAAAGCAAAGTGCAGGAAACTACCGGACAGTCATCATTACCTGGCCTCTCTCTGAGAGAAGATCATGAAGAAAATCTTAATGTAAGCCATTTTCAGGATGATGAAGGACAAGAACTTGATTCAGAAAAAACAGCACAGTTCTACCAACACGATTGCCTTTTATGATGAGATGATTTGCTCTATGGATGAGGTGATAAGAGCAGCACACTTTGATTTCAGCAAGGCTTTTGCCATGATATCTGTAGCATCACTGTAGTCCAGTAGAGACTGGTTCAGTGGACAAGCTGAGTGGAAAAGAGTCAGAACCTCTCTACTCAAAAAGTAGTGGTCAAAAGTCTAAAATGAAACTGGCATGCGGTTATGAGTGGTGTTCCTCAGGGCTGAGTAGGGGGCTTAGACTAGATAAACTCTAGAGTCCATATTTTTTTCTATGATTCTGTGATCAAGCCTTGCAGGGCACTCAGCAGCATTTGGGTCCTCATATTGAAACCACGAGTCATTCAAGGTTTGGTGGATTAATGGGTAAGTCTGCAGACCAGGGTAGGTACCTTCATTGATTCTGAGCTTATGCAGCAGAGTCTGCACGATGTCAAGTGGCAGTGCACCACGAGGTGTTTCCATTTAAAAAGCTTCTCACTGTGGGATCTTCTGCTAAGGTGCTCTGACCAGGCCTGAGCTCTCCACAACTCCACAAAACAAACATTACTTGAATACAATCCATTCCACACATCCTGATTTGGCATCTTGTAGTTGAAAGCAAGGGGAGAAAATTAACTGACTTTGCAAGAGGAATTTTAACAAGGATCATTTTCCACTTCAGGCCCACAGCATTTCCACTGAAGCACTCACGCTCTGTTAGTGTCCGTCCCCGTCTCACAGCTATTCTGATGTATGGTATTTCTCTGTAGGACTCATGCAGTCCATATCCCTTGACTCCAGTGGCTCTCAGTTAAAATAGTTCACACTCGTCCAGGAAACTTGCTTCTTTCATGTACCCTTTATGAAAACCTCTCTGTATTTTAAGAATAACCGATTAATTAAATTAACAGCTGGTTTCTTTGTTTCCATCTGGGGAATTTACTCTGCTCCGGCTCACCTCCCTAAAGTTAAACACTGAAAAAGCTTTCCTAAGATGCAGGCACTTCATTGTTCTCTTTGCACAAGATCTGGTCAGATACTGTTGGTCTTTAAAGGCTGTTGTATTCAGCAACAGAAATGACAAGGGTATGCACAGACTTCACAAATAAAACAGAATTCATTAGGTTTAGACATCTAGCTATATGACTTTAAAGTTTTGTGTTTTTTTTTTTTACAAAAATATGTTTCAACTGGGATGGAATATGCATGTTAACTATGTTGCTAGAGAAATTATTTCCTGCTGCATTTAATAGTGCTATAACAATTTCACAGTTAGCTTTCTGGATTCTGCTGACCCACGAAAACAGCTTGCACCACTGTTTTATACTCCTATCTCCTGTCTACAAAGCAGGCAAAAGCTTTTCTCAAGACCCTTTCAAAACACTACTGTTATTTCTTAGGTGATTGCAATAGTTAATAGCGAATGTAATGTTTACATAGCTTTTACTATCCATGCTGCATTCCTTTCTCGTGTATTGTGTATCTGAGATACTAGATTGAATTTGGTCTTTAAAGGCCGTGTTATTCTAGTTAAATGGCTCCAAACAGAATGGCTGAAAATTCCACAGATTAGGACAGGACAAAGCACAACATAGATTTTATTCCCATCCAGTGGCTTGATGAAAACATCTTGAGTGAAAGTTTGTTTTCTTAAAAAATTATTTTTGCGAAGGTCTTAAGGACAATGACAACAGGGTTTAATCTCTGTGAGGGCTTAAGTTTTCCTGGTTTCGGCTCCATGGGATCAGATGTAAACCACATTGTTTTGTTTTTGTTTTGAAAGGCCTGTAGCTCACGGAACGTCTTTCCTTCAGAGAGGTCTCCTCAGGTGGCTGCATCCGCTGCAGCGCGGGTGCGATAAGGGCAAACAGAACAAACTCCGAGATCTCCTTCCCCCGCCCTCAGCCCTCCCGATGCTGAACTGTCTTGTACGCCGCCGGCCCCCCCCCCCCCCCACGGCCCTGGGCCCGCGCTCCGCGGCCGGGCGCGGCCCCTCCGCACCTGGCGGGGCTCCGCGGCCCGGCCCCGCCCCGCCCCGCCCCGCCCGACGGCCCCCTCCGCGGTGACGTCACCGCGCGGTGACGTGTCAGCCCGGGCGGCTCGGCGGCGGCCGGAAGCGGCGGGAGGCAGCGTGGGGCCGGCGGCGGGGCGGGTTCGGTGCCGCCGGAGCGGGCAGCGTCGCAGCGGCGGAGCTCCAGCCCCTTCCTTCCTTCCTTCCTTCCTTCCCGCCCTTCGCTGCGCTGCGGCGGCGGTGGTACCGATGAGCGGCCTCCGAGCGCCCGGCGGGCGGCCGGCGGCAACCCCGGTGCCGACGTGCCTGCTTCTGCTGGGGCTGCTCCTGTCCGCCGCCGCCGGCGGGGGCTGCGACCTGGGGGCCGCGGACGTTGGCGCTGGCCGGCGGGGAGGACGGGAAGGCGCCGCCGCCTCTGCGGCGGAGGCGGCTGGGACAGGTAACGGCTCCCGCGCGTGCCGCCGGCGGGGCGGGGGGGAGCATCCCGGCGGCGGGGGACGGACGGACGGACGGACGGTCGGACGGACGCGTTGCTGCAGGGGGGCCCTGCCCCGCCCGGCGGGGTTCGCGGCGCCTCCGAGCCGCCTGTGCCCGCCGCGGGGGCAGCCGCGATGCGGCTCTGCAGGGGGCCCCTGCGGCGGCGGCGGCGGCGGCACTGCGGTACCGGCCCGCCGCGGGAAGCCGCCCGCCCGCCCGCCGGCGATTTGCAGGATCCTGTTGAATAGCGATATTGTTGAGAGCCGGAGCCGCCGCTTCCGCGTCTGCTCCCGCGGTGCCGCCCGCCCGCGCGGGTGAGTGGGTGTCTCGGGCGCGGCCCCGGCCGTGAGCCGCCCTGCGCGCCCGCCCCGGCTCCCACCCCCGCGGGGCCGCTTCCAGGCGGGATGCCGGGGGCGCTCCCGGCGGGGACGGGGGGCTGCGGCGGCCCCGGGGCGGCAGGTGAGCTGACCCCCCCCCCCCCCCCCCCCAAAGCGGTTCCCGGCCCTGCTGTATCGCAGCACAGCTGGCCGCAGCCCCGTGCTGTCAAGACAAAGATGTCCATCCCCTGCCCTCAGACGGGTTTTAGTTCTCCAGAAAAGTGCGGACAGCTTTTTTGCTTTCACTTAACTCCTTTAGAAAAAGTGAGTATCTTCGTACCACTGTACTTACGGCAAATGGTAATGCCCGCAGTTAAAAACAGCAGTTGCACGGAAACATTTGAAATAGTCTGATTTCAGCAGGCTTTGATGGCTCTGAACTGCTTATACACATTCTGAATCTATTGTACAATGAGCAGTAGGAAGCTTTATGGTCTTCAGACTGTTCACTTAGGAAAATGGGATTTGTGTGTTAGGAAATAGTCAAAAACATTTAGAAGTTTGTTATGTCTCATAATGTGCTTTTTAGAAAGCGCTGTAATTTGAGACAGAGTGCAGAAGGTGGAAGAAAGAAGAAAATAAAATACCCTTTGTGAGTCAAGGTAGTGTGCATTTCTTATCAGAGAAAAAACTTACGATGTTGTTTGGAATAGTACTGATACCCTGAGCTAAAATTACTGAACTTCATTGAATGAAGCATGCACGGATTTCTTCCAACACAGCACTTTAAACCCATGGATTTTGTTTATAATTAACGGAACTTCAACAGTATTCCTGAAATAACTGTGAGATGGAGATGCAAGGCTACATGATCTAGCAATCTTGTTTGAGGACACTGCATTTCTGAAATCTAAATTGACCAGGCTGTTGGCTTGCTGTATAAGCGAAGGAAGTTGGAACATCCGCAGTCTGTGAAGCAGCAGTCATGCCTCCCAAGTGTGTTGTGAAAACGCTGTATTGGAACAGCTCTTCTTCTTTTTTTTTCTCTCTTATTTTTTTTTTTCCCCTTTTCAGGCCGTAATTAATCCAGTTGTAGGTGGTATTAAACAGTTCTTGCTATGTATAGTGCTGACGTGGTCTACGTTTCATGCTTAATCAATTTTGATGTGTCAGTCAGTCTGCATGGAAAAAAGAAATCTATTTTTTTTAATATATTTTATGGGCTGTAAAAGTACTGACATGCTTGTCAGCTGTCTTGGTGCCCTCACCCCCACCCCTCAGTAGTGAATCTTGTGAAGAAATACGTTTCTTCGAGAAATCTAACATGTTAAAGCGGTTTTATTGTGTTAGGTAACCTTTTGGTCTGGAAAAATATGTAGGGTTAAAAGCCATCGCAGAATCAATTTTAATCTCTAGGAGGTTTTTAACATTGCTCCGTGTTTGTCTGCTTGATAAATATGGTGTTTCAGTTGATCATGTAAGTTGTTTGCCTGTCTGGTAACTAACCCAAGTAGTTTTAAGTTCTCTTTGCAAAGCTGGAAAAACTCTTGAAGGTTGGGAGAAAACCAGATGACATGTCCAGGGTTTGATTTTAGTTACATTACCCATTCTTTCCTTAAAAGTTAAAACTTGCAGATGTACCATCAAGTCTGGAGGGATTGCCAATGCTCTTCTGTTGAAGGATAGAATAAATTTTTAATTTAGTTTGAGAAGTACAATCCAGAAGATAAAAAACCTATGAAGTATAACATGCTGCACTAGGAAGGGGCCATCAGATACCCAGATAGAGGTGTATGGGCAGCACAGCTTTAGGAAATAATCCAACAGTCCTTGTCACAAATTGATCTGAATAAGCAACATTATGCAGGTTAGCCAGCTGCGTAAGTGGGTGATATTGTTGGATGTGTTGATCCAGTATAAATTACAGAAAGCTTTTATTTTTTTCTTTTTGATTGCACTTTTGTGTCCAGTCTTGAGTATTAAGCTATCCAAAAAGTACAGAGCAACATGGATTGTGAGGAATTAAAATGTTGCTTTCTTTTGAGGGGCTGAAAAGGCTGTGGGAAGGGTGTGTGCGTGAGAAATAGTTTACAGAAGCATACTGATTTTTTTTTTTTTTTTTTGGTAACTTTTTCCATTTTCTCTGTGGTTAAGATATAGGTTAAGAGGAAGTAAATCATAGTGGGCGAGATTTAGGTTAAATATAGGCTGGAAAGTTTTTACCTATAACAGTCAAATTATGTAGATTGTTCAACAAGTTCCCATTATTGGAGTGTTTTATTAGATTACAGAAGAAGCTGGCAAATACAGTCTAGATATTTGACACAAAAGGTATGTATGATGAATTTGAGGACTAGGAAGGAGCCTAAGATTCTACTCCTGCCATATTCAGGGATTTACTTAATTGTTTATATAGATATCGTTGCTGCTGTCTTTCCGTATATATGTGACATTTTAATGGTAATTTAGAAGTGACAGCTGTATATGTAACATCTGACACTGTGCTTGAAGGTATTTAGTCACCTTTATGAACATTAGATCAACAAAACCACGTTTCCACTGGATGGAACACCATGAAGCTATTTTTCTATTAATTCTGGCTCTGCTTATTCACTACTTAATTTGGTAGGGAGTTTTAAGGAACTTTATGTTCTGAGCCTGAAGATAACACTGGGTTTGCCCATTTACTTTATTAATTGACTTTTAATTAAGTAGTTTTGTAATTTTGGATAATTGTAGATTCTTGTTTAAAATTCTAAATTTAGCCCATAATCATGAATTCATTTAGCTGCCTTTCAGGTGGGACAGAGAACCTGGACCTGTATTTGGCTAATAAATTTCTCAAATAATGGCTTATAATATTGAGATAGATCATTTTTGACTACAGCACTACATTGTATTTACTGAAGAAACAATGGACAGCATAATGTAACATTTCCTGAAAGTCATTCAGTGATTTTTCCTATTCTGGAACTTACCCATCATTTTAACACTCCGAGCTCATCAAATTAATCAGACTTCGGCATTTGAGAAGTGAAGGTTTCTAGAAAACCTTTATTTTTAGCTGCAACTTCACAACGGGTTTAAACCATTGTAATGTAGGTGGCTTTCTTATTTGGAGTTGACCCCAGCTGGCCATGCAAGCAGTATTGTTAGCACAAGAGAGCTGGTAGGAGTAGGCATGCTTATCCCAGTACTCGCAACCCATAAGGAAGGAGGGAGTGTTTGCTCCCTTTCCTCATTGTACCCTGCTTGCCCCCAGTGTTGTGGTGAGCACTGTCTGTTGCTTTAGCTTGTAGGAATGTGAGAAGAAGCACAGACAACAGAAAAAACTTCGTATTTCTTACCAGACTTCCCTGACATGCTTTCAGCACTAGCACCAGTGCAAAGAGGAGGGAGGATGGGGCTGTACATGTGGGATCAGCAGTGAGGAAGAAGGGTGGTCTGCCTCCTGTGATGGCAGTGAGTGATGCTCTGAGCTGTCGGTGGAATTGCATCACTAAGGTGACTGTGGAACTGTGGTAGTGGCCTTTTTGGGCTTGAATAATCCACTTGGAAGTTGATGGTTGTGTGTGATGCTCCGTGTGTGGTGGACTAATACAAAGTGTGCAGTGATTTTGATTGTGTAGGAAAATGATCTTTGCATGATTATTTTGGCGTGCCCTGGTCTTAAAAGGTTGTGAGCTCTGAGACTTCTGTCACTTCCTCAGCAAACTGCTTTTTAAGGCTAGTAGATTTCTATAGTGATGAAAAGTGAGCATTACAGGCGTTGCTTATTCTATTACTTTGATTTGTTTGTCTCTAGTGAAGCTCTTCATAATCTTGTTTTACCATATCTGTTGGGAGGACAGAAATTTAGAGTCCTTCCTCTACTAAAGGATGTTGACTTCAAGCTGTTCTTTACTTCCTGATAGCATCTCAATGCAGTCATCTCCCTGAAATCTAATTAGCTTCTGCTCTGTTCTCAGCTTCATTATGTTTTTACTTTCTTAGCATATTCTTTATTTTTAGTGATAAAGAATAGGAGAAATCCAGCAAAGAAAGTTTGTGCAACAAGGGTTTTGATAGCTCAGTTGGCAGTTGGAGAATTGACATAACTACTAGATATAGGTAAAAAAAGCTGTAGTTGTCTGGATTTGTAGAGGTTTTTGAAATAAATATTAAAAACTGATCAACCAGGAAAAATCTTGGCGTTTATGTAGCTGAGTGGCATTGGAACCCACTCAGAGATAAGATGTCAAGCACTTGTAACTTCCTTTGCCCATAGCTGAGTATTTTTGCCTTACAGCCTTGCAGTGTTTTCACTGTAACTCTTCAGTGCTGCTGCTGGTGTCTTCTGCACCTTCTGGTGTTCTGTGAGCTTTTTTTTCTTTGACCATCAGTGTCATGTCTTCTGAAGATTTTTCTGGTCTTACCGTTGGGAATTAGCCAGGTTATTTAGCTGGCGTTTTCTTTTTCTTGCCTTACAGTAGTAGTCTGTAGCAGACCCTTTCTTAAAACCCCTCAGTGTCCCTCCCTGAAATTTTTTGACTTGGTATCATCCCGCCATCAGCAGGGCTTTGTGCTTTCTGAAGACAGTTCTGCTTTTCTGGGGACCTCCTACCAGATTCTGGCTAGCTGCTCCTACGCAACTTGGGCATGACTC